TTAATAGCCGAAAAATCTTGACACTCGTTTCAGATTTCTCACACGTTTCTATTTTAATATTCTGTCGATATTCTACACTTCGCATCCTATGTTCCACATTCGTACATTCCATACATCCTTATCTCAATGTTTATATCTGTATGTTTCTGTGAGATTTTGCCTACAAAGACAATTTCTGAATTATTGTATTTATTGAGTTACAGAACTTTTACGAATATTCAAAGTATCTTCATGCGACATTTCACGACGGGGGCAGAGTGATGACCCGCTTTCTTTTTGGGACGAATAATTTGATCCGCGCGTTGTGGAGAAGGTAACACTATATCGAATGACGAACATGAGAAAGATCCCACTTTCTAATCTCTCTGATTTATCGTATCTCTTAAATCACGTTCAGCCGATAGTTGTCAGTGGGAACAAATTGCCGTACAAAGGGATGCCAGATGGCGGGTATATTGTCGAAACCCGCGAGAGTTTCAAACAATTTTATTGTTACTATTCGTTTCTTTCTTGTTTTGAAAGAAGTTCCACGTAGTTCGCTCTAGTGTCACAAGTGCATCGGGTGCGTCAGATACATAAAGCACAGACGAAGTGCAGCACTTATGCCAACTGTACGCGTAAATTGTTTGAAGCGTAGGTACTACATGGGTTTATTGTAAGACGCATCGTCTCAAGTGAGGTGAATGAGAGACGAAGTTTTAAAGTATAACACAACCGGTTATAAGTAGACTGCGAATTTTTATGGATTTATCGGAAATGAAGGTGCACGCAATGCGCGTAGTATGTGAAAATACAAAAAATATCGAAAGTGTAGAAAGTATAGTAAAACGGGTTTCCATTTTTTTTTTTTTTTTTTTTTTTTTAAATTACCTTAATAAAAATGTGAGGAAATATTCGTTGCCTTTCGCTTAAAAACACTTTACGTTTATTGAAAAGTGCCAACAGATTTTACTTTATCTTTCGTATTTTACAAAATTAAATAGTAGAAGAAATAATTAAAAAAGTAAAAGCATTCAATTTGTAGTGAACATTAGCACACTATGAAAAAAAAAAAAAATTAAGAAATTATCATTTCATTCACGATCGTACGTTCGTTTTATATATTCAAAAATATAAATCAGTCGTGTCCTTTACACAGAAACGTGTAATAAAACAGCCATATGTAATAGAAGAGATACTTACACCAGATAATATCGGATACTGCGCCGAGGAATAGATTGGAGCAACCTGTTTGCATTCTACCACCATTAGGATAGAAATCGACATCACCCATAGGCTGCCAGGATCCCAAACCACCGAGCAACAGTTGTTCACCATTGCTATGAATCACGTCGACGAAGTTGGCATCTGTTTTGTCGAGTCGGACTCTTGGATCCTGGGACTCGAACAGTGGTCCTGCAGGATCTAGTCCTGTCGATTGCAAGGATTATTGTAGTCAACATTTTTGATCGAGTAAGAGAGGAAATTCCAAGGAGTCAAACAAGAGCGGAGATATATTTGTTTAAAAATACTTCACAGTATTCAAAATGATATCTAGTGAAATATTGACATAATCGATTGATATAAATAATAATAAAATATAAATAAAAGAAGAGCAATTGACGAAATTTTTTTCTTGCAAGCTTGTGATTTAAAGTATATCTGTTTCGTATTGAGACACGTATCTCTGATATTTTAAAAGTATCTATAAATTTCACAGAGTGTCAAGTATTCATGGAATTTGAACGACGCAGGTGTATTGTTTATTTCAGTATCAATTTAATAGATCGTTTGCAGTTATTGCAAGGGATTATTGCGCACAGTAGAGAAACATTACCCCCGTTACAAAAGTTGAAGATATAAGGAAAATGTGAATCTCTTAATCGAACTGTCTAAATATATCTAGATATAATATATTTCTCTCCGTACATATATTCTTCGAAATGATATCAATTGAAGCAAAAAGAAAAAAAAACGAAAGTCAATATTTAAACGCGTGTGAGTTTCTGTTTTCTCCTTCAAATCGCAGAACCGAACGAAAAATTTCTGGAAAGAGTGGAAACTCTAGGAGTCGTTGACGCATGAAGAAGGAAGAAAATATGTAAGTTGCAATCGCGGCACGTTTACTTGCTCGCGCTTTTGCAAGAGTCCTCGTTACAGTTTCTAGTGAATGGTTGCACCAACAAGATATACCGATCAGTTACTCAATTTTTTATCGTCTTTCCAAGCTATTTTTTTTTTTTTTCTCCATTCGATCATACATATGTATTTATGAATTTATATTTCATAATTGGATTAACCTGATCTATTTATCGAAACGTCTCGAGAATTTGACTCGATGGAGTTTAATCGATTCAGCGATTAATGCAAATGTTTAATTACGATTGCTCTGTATGCTTGACTGGAATAAACATGATTGAAGTGGATAACTTGGCTCTCCAACGGGAACTTGGTTCTCGAAGGACATAGAGATTGCAACTGTATCGTAACATGTTATTCAACTTGGATGCAGTAAACGCATTGCGTTATGAATACAGAATAACGGAACAAACCTCTGAATTTACGCGATCAGAAAATATATAATCTTTATCGAATTTACTTATATGAACGAGGTACAAATTTTTAATCGACTTTTTTGCCTCTTAAATTTCGTCCTTTGGAACTTTGTGGAAAAGGTAGAGATTTCGAGTTTTGTAAAAAACAGTGGACGAATGTGTTACAAATCCTAAAGATATGTCTATTCTTAAAGAATTTCCTGAGATCGCAAACCCACATGCAAATCAAGTGCAAATGTAACTTACACGTAGCACAAAAATTCATCGTAATTTGATTGACACGCAAAGGGAAAATGTTGCTCAATAGTTTCGGTACCTGTGATTCTGGAGACATTGCCTAGTTCAGCACCGGCAAATCCAGCCACGTGGGCACCCAGGCTGAAACCGATCAAGTGAACCTTCTCCAAAGGTACGTTCAAACTTCGAACCAGCTTGGCTAATTGTCGCCCAACCAGACGAGTATTGGCAGCCGCCCTTACGTAGTTAGGAACTGCGCTTCCTGGACCCCAGTCGACACATACTAAAAAGATATTCGAAGATACAAAAAGATCGTCCAAGTGAAAAAGAAAAATTTAGTGATAAAGTAATTGGTAAAACTTCCCGATATCAATTAGCGAACGATCGAAAAATCTTGCATCAAAGGTATTTCTCGCGAATAAAATTCTTGCATCGGTTTGCGATTATCTGCGAGTTCTTGCGAAATTTATGAGAAATTCCGAACGATAGTATCTCTTAATAATAACACTTACAATTAGTTAAGTGGAAATGAATTAAAAATTGAAAATTTCAATTAATCTTAATTGTAGCATTTACAACGCGAAATTGAAAATTAAAGTCGAAGTTGATTACATTTATTAAGTAAGTGCAGCTCTCTTTTTTGTATCGTATATTTCCATAAATATCCATAAATATTCATACTAAACGTTGGATATTTTGCATAAATATGCTACGTAGTAGTCGGTGGAGCTAAGAGGAATTGCTACGAACCTATATTACATTCGTGCACGGTCATTAGGGCGGATCTCATTTCGTAAACCCAGACGTGATCGCAGCTGGATCCGAACCCGTGTACAATCACTTTGGTGGGTAGATCGGGATCTATGGCACGGTGTGCGTTATCGTTTATATCATCAGCAGCAACTTCCATCGGGATCGATCTCGCCTTTCTGCTGCCGTACACTAGAAATCTGCACAGAAACGCATATCGAGAATGAAAACGCTTTACAATCTCGAAAGGGATTGAGGTGAGATAATTTAGTTTCTGAAGAGTGAAACATTAATTGATATAATAGAATCGAGGAATTTTTTTGAGAGACGGTGAATTTGTTTTTTGAGTGGTTCATATATCCACCCATGCGCGATCGAACTTATTTGAAGACACGACCAGGCGTACTTCTTACAACACATTGCGTTACCTGTGAGAAATGTAACAAAATTACATTCGTGCTTTTACCAAACTAGGTTACTGATACAATGTATCATTCCTGTCTTCTTGTTACTTCAACGCAATGTAAAATAACGGTGATCATCGCGAGGAGAAACAGAGAACGCTCGACAAAAGAAAAGGAGTGCAATTGCACATTACAGTCGCTATGTTCGTGGAAAGATTCGTGAAAATCTGAACATATTTTGCGATAAGGTTGCTTTGATTAAAGTAAAGTAAGGACCGCAGATTTTTGTGGAAATTCGTATTAATTAATTAAAACGTTAGATTCTTACGATAGCAAGTGTAATTCAAAACTTCTAGCTCCATAATAATATATTAATAGTGAAAATAATAATTGAAAATATTGTTTCACGCGCCATATATTATGAAAAGGACTGTATCTATTCTGAATACTTTTACATATTTCTTTCATACGATGTGTTTTAAATTTTTGCATAAACGTATAAAAATCCACGGTTTATCCACGTGTAATCGTGTGCGCCGTATTTTTACTTTTCAATACCTAGTGCCAACTTCTTTGGGTGGTGACGGGAGCATTTCCAGGTAGCTGAACGGTCCCGTGTCTTCGAAGCAGCCGACATCTTCGTAGCAAACCTTGGAAACTTCTCTCTTGGTTCTGTGCTGCAACTGCTTATGCAACGTCCACTGTCTCATCGACTCGACGACCGCTCGAAAGATTTCGGCGTCGTTTTTCTCGTCCGCGGACTCGTCGAGTGGCGTCGGCCATTCTTGCGCAACCGCCGAGTCTCCTGCAAAAACCGTATTTTTTTGAAATTCCTGCAGGAAGGATTCGTCAGATACGATATTCAGAATGACGAATTGAAATTGCCAGAAAAATTTTGATTCTAATCTTCGGATGTTGTCTACATTTCAATTGATGCACGAGACGAACAAGAACTTTATAATAGTCAAATTATTTCGTGTAAAAGTATGTATTTACCGCAAACTCGTTTTTATTTTAACAAATCTTTCCCATGCGTTTTGTCGATCCTTCTACGTGATCGAGTAATAGATATAAAATTCTTTTCAAATATGCAACTTTGTTTATTAATTTATTTCAATCGTATACTAATTATCTCGTGCAACTTTGTAAACTATTTCAAAAAAACTCTTCCTCGGCGTAATCTTCGTTCTCCGCTATTCTGTTTAATCTTCGTGCGACGAAATCTACTTTCAGCAGTTAATAACTCTTATATACTACTCGTATATACTGCAGAGAAAAACCTCTTTTACCGCGCTGGATAATTTGAGAATGTAAAGCCCACGAAGTCTGTTTGTGCTCGATAGGATTCGAAGCGCGCCTGAATCAGTATTCGACAAACTCGGCCGAGCAACAATGTCTCCGGACCGATCGGCCTGGCAAATTGTTCGGAACGAGCCGGACAACCGAATCGGAGATTCGGAGCCTGAACTACACGCATCGTAGGTCAGATTGATAGATTCGTGCGAAGCTTCGTAACGGTTTCCTTGGCTCGTTGCGTTGTTATTAGCATAACGCCTGAATAACAATCTCCTGGAACGCGACTATTTCTTTTTTTTTTTCTTTCTTTCTTTCTTCAGCTACGACGCCACGCAGGACAACGCGACGTAACTCGGCCAGGTGTGCTTCCTTTTTCCTCACAGCAGCCATGGGCCAACAAACGATGGCCAGAAATCTC